CTAAAAAATACAAAAATTAGCTAGGCATGGTGACAGGGGCCTGTAATCCCAGTTACTTGGGAGGCTAAGGCATGAGAATCCTTTGAACTCAGGGGATGGAGGTTGCAGTGACTCAAGGTCATGCCACTGCACTCCAGCCTGGGGGACAGGTTTTGAGACTCTGCCTCAAAAAAAAAAAAAAAAAAAAAAAAAAAGGATAAGGTGTATCTAAAAATCATAGAATGTAAAAGACTGAAGATTGCTTAAAGCAGTAGCTACCAAGGTTTTAGCCAGTAGGGACATCTATTTAATTTTATCTAAAATGACTTATGCTTTCCTATATCAAGTGGAGAAGAAAAATAAAAAACTCATACACTGTTGGTAGGAATGGGAATGTAAATTAGTACAGCCATTGTAGAAAACAGTATGGAGATTTCTCAAAAAACTAAAAATAGAACTACCATACAACCCAGCAATCCCACTACTGAGTATTTACCCAAAGAAAAGGAAATCAGTATATTGAAGAGATACCTGCACCCCTATGTTTATTGCAGCCAAGATATGGAATCACAATAGCCAAGATATGGAATCAATCCAAATGTCCATCAACAGGGGTCAGTTGGGGGGAATAGGGGAGGGATGGTGGGCAGCGGGGAGTTGGGGAGAGATAGCAAGGGGAGAGATGCCAGATGTAGGTGATGGGGAGGAAGGCAGCAAATCACACTGCCACGTGTGTACCTATGCAATAATCTTGCATGTTCTTTACATGTACCCCAAACCTAAAATGCAATAAAATAAATAAATGGGAGGAAAAAAAAAAGAAAGAAAATGTGTTACGTATACAGATGGCATACTATTCAGTCATTAACAAAAAATAAAAGAGAGGAAAATCTTGTCATTTGCAACAACATGGATGAGCCTAGAAAACATTATATTATGTGAAATAAGTCAGGCACAGAAAGATAAATACCACAAGTTCTTAATCATATGTGGGAGCTAAAAAATAAAAATAAAAAAGGAGCTCACAGAAGTAGAGAGTAGAATAGAGGTTGTTAGGGTTTAAGAAGGGGAGTGGGGAGAGGAGGATAGGGTGAGGCTACTCAATGATAAAAAAATTTACAGCTTAGATAGGCCAGCCTAGGTAGCTCAGTCCTATAATCCCAGCACTATGGGATGCAAAGGCAGGTGAATCACTTGAAGACAGGAGTTCAACACCAGCCTGGCCAACATGATAACACCCCGCCTCTACTAAAAAAAAGTACAAAAATTAACTGGACATGGTAGCACACGACTGTAGTCCCAGCTACTCGGCAGGCTGAGGCAGGAAGATTGCTTGAACCCAGGAAGCAGAGGCTATAGTAAGCCAAGATGGTGCCATTGCACTCCAGCATGGGCAACAGACTGAGACTCTGTCTCAAAAAAATAAAATAAAATTACAGCTAGATAGAATAAGTTCCAGTGTACTGTAGCACTGAAGAGAGAATACTGTTAACAACAAGCTAGTGTATATTTTCAAAAAGCTAAAAGGATTTTGAATGTTCACAACACAAATAAATAATAAATGTTTAAGGTAATGGATATGTTAATTGCCTGACTTGATCCTTGTATATTGCATACATGTAACAAAGTATCACTCTGTAGTCTATAAATATGTACAATTTTTATGTATCAGCTAAATAAGGGGGGGCAGAATCTTTCCTATATCCAAAAAAATGCATTTAGAAAAATAATGATTAATTTTTCCATTCAATATATGCAGACATAAATGCCCACTTTCCAGTGGGCTTTAAGAATATCAAATAGGCTGGGCACAGTGGCTCATGCCTATAATGCCAGCACTTTGGAAAGCCAAGGTAGGAGAATTGCTTGAGGCCAAGAGTTTGAAACCAATCTGATCAATACAGTGAGATCTTGCCTCTATGAAAAATAAAAATTAGCTGGGTGTGGTGGTGCATACCTGTAGTCCCAAGTACTTGAGAGGCTTCGGCGGGAGGATCGCTTGAGCCCAAGAGGTCAAGGCTGCAGTGGGCTGTGATTACACTACTACACTCCAGCTTGTGCAACAAGCTCCCACCCACCCTCCCAAAAAAAAAGAAAGAAAATAAATACTGAACATAGCTCATGGGCCAGTCTGAGCATGGTGCACTGATAGAATGTGATTTCTAGAGCCAGATACCTACATTTAATCCTAGATCTAACACTTACTAGTGGTGTGATCTGTGCTTGTTTCCTTATCAATTAACATTATGAAAATAATGAGAGTAACTACTTCCTAGGCATGAATACTAACATTTATGTCTAAAGCTTTTAAACAATGACTGGCAGATAGTAACTGCTCATTAAGTGTGAATTATTACATGAATATTACCCTGGTAGTCCCTGAAGCAGAAACCATCTTTGGAACTCATCTAGTCTATGTCCACCTAATTCAAGTGTCCATTTCTAAAACAGTCTTAACTAATGGCTACCCATTTCTTTCTTGAACATGACCAAACAACAGGGAATGTGTCAGTTATCTATTGGCACAGTAAGATTGCATAGCAAAGCACTTCAAAACACAGTGACTTCAAACTGTAAGTATTGTACATCTCACTGTCCAGTCATCTTGCCCCAAAATATTCACATTGTGCTGTCAAAGGTGCAAAAGAAAAGAAACCACAATGTGCAAGCCTACTTCAATCCTCTGCTTATGTCACATCTGCTAATGTCCCTTTGGCCAAGCAATTCACATAATTCAGCCCAGAGTTAAGGGGCAGGACAGACAACCCTTCCCATAGCAGGAGGCACTACAAAAATTACATGGAAAAGGACATGGATGCAGACAGTGGTGAAAGAGTTAGGTTATCATTGCCATCATACACAGAGAGTAGACTAGATCAAAAGGCAGTCTTTTACAATTATTAGACAGATATGCTTGGGGCTAAGCCAAACCATCCCTCCCTTAAATTTCTGTGGTTTCTTCTAGTTAATTCTCTGGAGCCACAACTGTGTAAGTCTAATCATTCTTCCACATGACATTAAGTGCCATTAAAATATTTAATTATGTTTCTCATAAATCCTATCTTCTGGAAGCTAAAAAAAAAATCAATCCCTTCTACTGTACTTCATATAACTTGAGAAATGATCTTGCTTTTACTGTCAACATTTCCCTTAAATCATGGTACTTTATATATGTCAGATGAGGTCTAATGTTACCAATATTATTCTAGGTACTGCACATCTATTATAGCATTTAAAAAATAGTATAGGCTTTTTTGCTGCCACATCACATTGTAAACTCACACTGGGCTTGCTGATAAAAGGCCCAAGTGTTTTGCATGCAGTATTATTGAAGTAAGCTCCTCTGACTATAATTTCTCATAGAACGACCCAATCACACACTTTCCTGAGTACACGCTTTAGTTCACAATGAATCAGTCTGACTTCGCCAGGTTTTTTGTTGCTATTTTATAAACTAATTGATCAGTGTATCCCAAATGCTAGTCCCTAGTCAATTGCTTTAATGATACATTTTGGTCCTGTAAAACCCGCTTTATTAGGACTTCCTGCATTAAATAATGGATTTGGACTTACTGTGCTTCTATCAGAGGTGGTTTATGTAAGCTTATAAACTTAGAGTTGGAAGGGCAACTTGAGATTATCAGCTCTAACCTCCTACCCAATATGGATAATGTCAAGTAGTCCTGACAGGTAAATCAGGTCAGTGTCTGAAGTACTCTAATACGATGCTCTGTTTGTGGGAATACATTTCCTGGTTACAGGGACACCAGAATGAGTTTGCAGGGGAGGGTATCCTTACCTAGTTCCTTATATTTCTAAAGGCTTTTCAATTTCAAAGTGCTTTCTTATCGATTGTCTAATTTTATCTCCTTTAATCCAGGTACTCACTGATTTCCAAATTACTTTAATAGGGCAAAAATCTTTGATTCAGCAATTAGAAGCATTGGAAAATTCTAATACGTCTATGAGAAGAAAACTATTGATTTATCTTCACATTGGGATCTAAATTATTCATAGCAGAATTCTTTCTCCAACAGATATTTATAGGGTGTTGTGGCGTCACTGGGATACTTAAAAAGGAACAAATTAAGCTCCAAATAAACCTTACACACTTCAAAACTTTGGCTAGGTGGGAAAGTAGTGATAGACTAGAAGAGTAGTAGATTAATATCGGAGAGTCTTAACTGTCCATTGAATAAAACTGCATAATAGAAATGAATAAAAAATAACTACAAGCAACTATTTTTCTTGCTATAGGAAACATGGTGAATAACCAATTAAATGACACTGAAATTGGAACTGTCAGCTCTTAGCATTTATTTCCTTTGGCCATAATAATGGAAGAAATGAGAGTACATGCTGGAGCAAAGAATCAAATCACTGATAATGGACCAAATCACTGATAATGAAAATATTAACATTTTTGAAGAAAAATAGATACAACCACAAAATTAATGAAAACAGGAAGAAAATATTCAAACTTTGCCTTATCCCAAATGACATCATTCATTTCCAGGTTGTGAAGTGTTCTCCCTACAGAAAGGAACTATGGTGAATGTCCTCTCTTTTTTGGTTTGGGTTTGCCCTGCTCATTCTGCTGTGTGAAGGATGAGAATAAGAACTTTCAGAAGTATGTAACACTCTCAGCATGTGAAAAATCCCAAAGAAGGAAAAACTGTATGTTTTCAATTAAATTATTGAGCTGCATTCTCTCCTTCACATTCCAAGTTTGAAACACACACACCACACACTCACACTTCCCAGAAAGAGATAGGGGAAAGTTTGATTTCTCCTACTGGATTTGCAATGCAATTGAACTACTTTTAATTTTCAAATAATAATCCAATTTCTTGGACATATGTCAACAAAATGATTGCTTAAGCAAACCTTAAGTGCACATTTCCTGTCTCAAAGAATCTTCTTGTGCTGCTTTTCCAGACAAACTGTCTTTTCAGGCCTCCAGTTGGCACAGGGATCCATCCAATGCAGTCCTACCACCTACTGACAATCCACTTATCATGTTTTTTTTTTTTTTTTTTTTTTTCCAAATTCCTGGTTTAATAAGGACTTGTTTATTTTGAAGAAAAAGGGTCCCAAACATCAGGCTGTTCACAAAAATAACCCACAGTATCAACTTTAGAAAACAAATCTTAAGACTATAACACTATTTTTCTAGAGGATGCATTTGACATGCCAACTCTCATTCACAAAAATACATCGTTACATTTGTGTTGAACTGCCCCACACAGCACACTAATGTTGGGGTGTAACACACATACTTCTAACTCAAAGCTGCTTTCAGGAGCTACTCAACTAAATGAGATTGCCTTTGCAGTTAGGGAAGCAACTACTGAACGTATGTATGAATGAAAAGAACTGTACTCCCTTCATAACGAGAGATTATTTTGGAGACAGTTGATAAAAACCATACATCCTTTTTATTGTTAAGTCATAAAGAGGTATCAAAATTAAAAGCAAAAATTACAGGGTAAGACTTAACAAAAACTACTAGGAGCGTCAAAGGAAGTGAAAATGGGACTAGGCGCAGGGAAATATGAATTAATGAACATGGGAAGGACAAGGATGGGGAGAACAGTGAGCATGTGCTGAAGATACTAGGGGAGAGGATCTGGTGAAAAATTTGATCTTAGACAAGCACCTAGGTAAAGAAATAATGGGATAAGATTTCTAAACCCCACTATGTGCTTAAGAGTCATCCTCGCCATTGGCGCTGTCTCTGTCATCCTCTCCTTCCTCAGCCTCTTTTTCATCATCCTTGATCAACTCCAGCTGGTCATCCCCCCGATCTTCATTATCATCATCATCCAGTAGGTCCCCCTCCTCAGCAGAGTCATCTGCACCCCCCTCAGACTCCATCTTCACATTAGTCTCATCTTTCTTCACGGAGCTGCTGCTCCGCTCCTCTTCTGACTTATCATTCTTCATCTCTACTGCTTGTTTGCTCTGTTCCTTTTCAATTTTTTCCAGGTTTTCCAGGAGAGAATCCACTTTTTGTTTTATCTGGGTCAGTTCCTTCTTAATGGCCTGAAGGTCATCTCCTTTCAACTTTCCAGACTTGGAAGATCCCCGCTGTCCACTCTTAGAATTGAAGCCACTTTTGCCCCTTCGTGAGGTGTTTCCTGATACACGCTGACGTTTCGAGGGCACTACAGCCCACGCAATAGGAGGAGGAGGAGGTACACGTGCTGGGTAACTGTACATCCTATCATAATAATCCCGTTGAAAGTCATAGTCCAAGTCAAAAGAGGAGCCGTACATCTCCGCTGCAGATCGTTTCACACCTGCTTTTCCTCGGTTCACTTTTGGCTCTGCAGCCAGGTTAATATCTAAAACCTGGCCAGCAATCATTCTGCCATCCTCTCCTGCTACAGCAGCCCGGGCATTTCTCTCATTAACATATTGAACGAAGGCAAAGCCCTTATGAACAGAGCAGCCCACAATTTTGCCATACTTCGAAAAGATTGCCTCCACATCAGATTTCTTGACCACGAGAGTGTTTAGATTCCCAATGAACACACGGGAGCTCATGGAGCGAGGATCTGTCTTGTTGGTAACGTTGCTGGCCATTGTGTTTGATGATAAGGTTTCTCACAAAGCCGAAGATGTAGCTGAAGATCAAAAAAATCTCACAGGAGAGAGAAGGGAGAAGAGATTCGATTCTGAGTCTCCTACTCCCGGGTTCTACGTGCAGAAGCCGACTGCTGCTCGAGGTCGGCAACGCAGACACAACCGCTCAGTTTTCGTCTCTTCACAAAATGCCACTTATCATGTTTTATTGCGAATTATTTGTCTACATATCTGTCTCCTCTACCAGACTGTGAGCACCAGAGGGCAAGAATTACTTTTTGTTTGATTTTTATCTCCAGTGCCTAGCATAAGTTCTCATACATGGCATTTTTTGGACTAAGCAAATAAATGGAAGCATTCTGCAGCACGCTGCATCAACCTCCACCTTTTCACTTCACCTCCAGCAGCCACTCAGGTTGACTCCTAGCAACAACTTGATAGGTAAAAGTATGACTTAGAGGCTGGCACAGTGGCTCAGGCTTGTAATCCCAGTACTTTGGGAGGCCAAGATGGGAGGATTACTTAAGGCTAGGCATTCAAGACCAACCTTGTCAACACAGCAAGACTCCATCTCTTAAAAAAAGGGGTAAAAAAGTATGACTTTGGAGAAAGGGACAAAATGGCTGACTAGACAGCTGGAAGAAAGTCTTCCCTAGAGAGGAACCAAAATATCAAGTAAACCTTCACACTTCAATCAGATTTTTTGAGGGAAAATATTAAAAGTCAACAGAGAGGTGGCAAAGACACCATGGTTGAGGAGGGAGGAAACAGGGCAACCTGCTTAGAGTCCCTGAGTGCCAGGACCAGCCCAAGAACCTGGACCAGATCTAAGGAGGAGGTGAGTGAAGGAACCCTGGGCCACTGCATTCCCACCATGGGCCTCTGCGACCCTAGCTACAAGAGTTCCCATGCTCCTCACAGATCTCTGGACTGGCAGGGGAAGTTGCATAGAGAGCAAATAGAAACACAGTTTGAACTCATGCAGAGCCCAGAAGGCTTCACTGTGCTGTACAGCTGCAGCAAAATGCAGTCATAGGAGCCCATCTGCCAAGGTTCTCCTTTTTGCACTGAGAGGTTGCAGCACCTGCTGTCTGCTCAGCTGGGAGGAAGCTGGGCCTGGGTACATTCACATGCTCAAAACAAGCCCTGTTGCCATTGCCACAGGACTGAGGTGCATCTGATCCATGTGCGTTCTTGCCTGCTGGCCCCTCTCAAGGCCACCTACCTGGCCATTTCTACCCACAGCACAGGCTTCACTGCCCCACCTTAGAGCTGTATTGGCAGCCTGGGAGCAGTTCACCACCCCCATCCCAGCTGGTGCTTGACCCTAAGACACTAGCAGAAAAGTCCATGGACCTGGTCCCAACTCCTCAGGACTCAAACACACTGCCCTGGGATATCAAGCTGAGATTTGTGGTCTGATCTCAAGTTGGGGAGAAGCCCCTGCTGTTAGAACACAGAGAAGAGTGTGGCATAGGTTCATGTGCCAGCACAGAAGTTGGGTGCACCTCCCCTAGTAAAACTGGACTGGAAAGGGCATGGCCTGATAGCCATGGCTTCTTCCCCAGGGAGTCTCACAGCCTGGAATGCCTGGAACAGCTCAGCAATCTTGGCACAGATGGCTTCACACCTCAGTCAGATTTTTTTAGGGAAAATACTAAAAGTCAACAGAGAGGTGGCACAGACACCGTGGTTGAAGACCTCTTCATGTCTCTGGCATTCACCCAGGCAGGAGGCTTTAGCCATTGGGGCCTCCTGCCAGGGTGAATGCCAGCAACCAGCTGGGTCAGGGGAACATAAGCTGGGCAAGACCCACAGCCACCTGGTGGTCTGAAAACCCCAGGCCACAGGCACCATACCAGTTGTATATCAGCAGTGCCACTGCCTTGCCTGGGAATCCTCCACCCTTGATCTACTGCACTACCAGACCATCCAGACCCCACAACCCACTCTGACTTTGGCAAGCACAGAGGACCAGTAGGTTCCCAGTTAATTGCAGGTCACCTGGTGATCTTACCCTCAGCATGAACCACCCCTGAATGAGTGGGGACTGCAGCCCACCAAAGCCCCTCTTCAGACAAAGAAAACATGGGCACAGCACACACAACTGAAGAGGCCACCACCAAGGCCCTGGAACAGACTTGGAGAGGTCTTCTCTTCCTCCTGACCCACATCCTCTCCCCAGTACACCATTGCAGACATACTGAAATACAAAAGGGATGAGGATAAGCAGGAGGCACACTTTTCAAATTTCTCTGCCACCTCTGCCCCCACTGAAGACAACTGGGCTGAATAAGAGCTTATATGTCAATTGCTTCTTTTGAGCATTGTCTACTAGACTGCAGCCTGCATTATACCACCAAACAAAAATATACTGCTACAACAAACAATGCCTGTAAAACCTACCACAGGAATCTATCTAAAAGCAAGGAACCCATACAGAGCCTTGACTTTCTGAAGCACCCAGAAAAAAAGCCAATTGATTATACCCAGCATAGAGGACAGTCATACCCACAGGGAAACATAATAAAAACTCAAGAAAGCTTCATCCATATCACAGCAAATTCAAAAAGAAAAAGAAGCATCAGTCCCACAAATGAGAATGAATAGGTGCAAGAACTCTGAAAATACAAAAAACAAGAGTGTTTATTTACCTCCAAAGGATCACACTAGCTCCCTACCAATAGATCTTAATCAGGTTGAAATGTCTGTAATGACAGATATAGAATTCAGAATCTGGATGGCAACAAAACTCAATGAGATCCAAGAGAATGTTGAAATCCAATCCAATGAAGCTGGAAAAACAATCCAAGATTTAACAGATGAGATGGCTATATTAAGAAAAAACCAAGCATAACTTTTGGAATTGAAAAAGTCACTACAGGAATTTCAAAATACAATTGGAAACCTTAACAACAGACTAGACAAAAGTAGAAGAAAGAATTTCAAAGCATGAAGATTGGTCCTTTGAATCAATCCAATAAAAAAAAAAATTTAATTTTTTTTTAAATGAACAACACCTCCAGAAAACACGGGATTATGTAAAGTGACCAAACCTATGATTCATTAGCATTCCTGACAGAGAAGAGGAGTAAATAAGCAATTGGGAAAACATATTAAGGATATAATCCAGGAAATCTTCCCAATCTCACCAGAGATTAATATGCAGAAATACTAATTTACTAATTATAATTTATTAATTTATTATTATTTATTAATTTATTAACACAAATTAATATACAAGAAATCCAAGGAACTCCTGTAAGACAGTATAGAAAAGGTCCACCACCAAGGCACACAGTCATCAGGCATTTCAAGCTCAACACAAAGGAAAACATCTCAAAGGGAGCTAGAGAAAAGGGCCATATTAGCTATAAAGGGAATTCAATCAGACTAACGGTGGGTTTTTCAGCAGAAACCTTACAAGCCAGAAGGCATTGAGGGCCTATTTTTAACATTCTTAAAGGAAAGAAATTACAACAAAAAATTTCACATCCTTCCAAGCTAAGTTTTATTAACAAAGAAGAAATAAAGTCTTTCCCAGACAGGTAATCACTAAGGGAATTTGTCACCAACAGAATGACCTTACAAGAGATGCTTAAGGGAGTTCTAAACATGGAAATGAAAGAACAATACTTGCTACTACAAAAGCATATGTAAGTACATAGCCTGCAGTTTCTGTAAAGCAACTACACATCAAGAATACAGAACAACTAGCTAGAAACACCATGACAGTAATAAAACCTCGCATGTAAATATTAACCTTGAATGTAAATTGCCTAAGTATTCCACTTAAAATACATAGAGTGGCATATTGGATTAAAAAACAAGGGCTAGCTTTCTGCTGTCCTCAAGAGACCCATATCACATGTAATGAACCCTACAGGATCAGATAAAGGAACAGAGAAAGATCTGCTATAAAAATGGAAAACAAAAAAGGGCAGAGATTGCTACTCTTGTATCAGATAAAACAGAATTTAAACCAGCAACAGTAAAAAAGGACAAAGAGGTCCAGGAGCAGTGGCTCACACCTGTAATCCCAGCACTTTGGGAGGCTGAGGTGGGTGGATCACAAGATCAAGAGATCAAGACCATTCTGGCCAACATGGTGAAACCCTATCTCTATTAAAATACAAAAATTAGCTGGGTGTGGTGGTGTGCACCTGTATCCCCAGCTACTCAGGAGGCTGAGGCAGGAGAATTGCTTGAATCCAGGAGGCGGAGATTGCAGTGAGCTGAGATCATGCCACTGCACTCCAGCCTGGTACCTGGCAACAGAGCAAGACCCTGTCTCAAAAAAAAAAAAAAAAAAAAAAAAGGACAAAGAAGGGCATTACATACTGATAAATGATTCAATTCAACAAGAAGATTTAACTATTTTAAATACATATGCACCCAACAATAGAGCACAATTGTTTTATAAATACAGATTTATAAAACAATTACTACTAGAGCTACAAAACAGACTTAGACAACTACTCAATAATAGTGGGGGAAATTCAACACCTCACTGAGAACATTAGACACATCACTGAGGCAGAAACTAACAAATTTAATACTTAAACACTTGACTGATTGGACCTAATAGATACCTACAGAATACTCCACCCAACAGCTAGAGAAAATGCATTCTTCTCATCTGCACACAGAACATACTCTAAGATTGACCACATACTCAGTCATAAAGCAAGTCTAATAAATTCAAAATACTAAAAGCATACCAAGCATTTTCTTGGACCACAGTGAAATACAAATATAAATTAATACCAAGAGGAACTCTCAAAACCAACAAACACATGGAAACTAAACAACTTGCTCCTGAATGACTTTTGGGTAAACAATAAAATTAAGGCAGAAATCAAAAAATTATTTGAAACAAATGAAAATAGAGACACAATATACCAGAACCTCTGGGATGTGGAAACAGCCGCATTAAGAGGAAAGTTTATAATGGTAAACACCCATATCAAGAAGGTAGAGAGATCTCAAATTAACAACCTAATGTCTCACATCTAAAGGAACTAGAAAAGTAAGAATGCACTGAACACAAAACTAGCAGAAGAAAAGAGATAATTAAGATCATATGAGAACTAAGCAAAATTGAGACCACAAAAAACATAATGAACTAACAAATCAAATTTTGTTTTTTGAAAAGATAAACAAGATCAATACACAACTAGGTAGTTTAACTAAGAAAAA